GACATGCATATATACATACTACATACACATATATGAAAAGAAAAAATTTCTATTGCTGTATTTGTGAAATGCAGTGATATGGTCTAGAGGTCTGCGTTTCAGCTGTTATGATGTCACCATTAAACAGTCGGCAGACCTGGAGAGTACACGATAGATATTACATACCTTGCACAGTAAGCTCCGCCTGAGCCTCGACCGTCTTATTTCCATTATCAGCTATACACAAGTAAGTCCCAGCATCATCCTCAGTGACGTCACCAATCTCCAAACTACCTCCTGCTAGCAAGACCAACCTTTCAGAGCTGGATTAAACACACAAACAAAATGATACATTTCAGCATGAGGGAAATAATCCAATGAGGCTTTTCACATACTAATAGACAAACATTGTTACAGTGACAGCTATAAACAGACTAAGATTAACAAAAACTCATCAGAATTTAATTTCAGCTTGTTTTGCTCATATTTTATATGCATAAATGCCACAGTATACAATTTTCACAATCTCTGGCACTTCTAGCTATTCCCAAAGAGTTATTACTTTTATGACCAATTCAACTTCCTCCAGTGTATTCCTGTCTCCCTGTTCTGGTCAGCTTAACGGAAATTATGTAGTTTAAAGTCTGCAACCCATCTAAGACCAACTTCACCACAGCTATGCCATGCCAGAATTACTAATAGGAAGAAAAATATAGAGGGCAAAATGTCAACTCAAACAGCAAGTCACGAGGTGACAAGTCATGAGGTAGTGCCACCAACTGAAAGTTTCCTATGGTGACCTGGCTAGGAAATAGGGGGTAGGATGGGATGGGTGTGTAAAAAAAAAAAAAGACAGGAAGGAAAAGGGTAGGACAGATGCCATTGAGCAGCTCCTGGGTGTGGTACTGAGCACAAATCAGCAAACATCCATCGCTCCACTTACAATAAGGATGATGAATACTTTCAAAAATCTACAGTGATATGAGCCTATTTACATAAAAAACCAAAACAATCCTACAACACAGAAAAAATTGCAAATCAATATTCTCAAATTTTTCTAAAGTTAAAAAGTTTAGTTAATCTGGAGAATTATGAACTAGATCAATAGACAAAGTTATCTGACACAAAGCAAGGAATATAATTCTATAGGTCTGCAATTAAAGCAGCCACTTTAAGTTTTTTATTTATTTCATCATTATTTTCAGGCTGGTGTCAACTAGAAATGAAGTCTTGAAAAGTGAAACTCTGAAGAATACACTGCTATACTTGGTGATCCTGGAAGTATGAGCCAGGCATTACACTGCCATCACCCATAGTGTGGTAACCAAGCCCTTTGTCCCTGGACTCAGAGCTGTACTCCTCTATGAGATGGCACTACTCCATCACTGAAGCATACTTTGCCGCTGCTCACCTGGAGCACTGGCACTCATATTTTCGGATCCTCTAAAGAACAGAACCATTTCCACATCCCTCATTCTATTTGCTTTATCTGAACACAGATGAACAAATTTAAATAAATGTTATCAATTCTTAGAAATTCTTAAAAAAAAAACCACTTGTATTTTTGTGTGCTTGTTTTCAAAGATATAATAAACATGCCTAATGCTTAAGACACTTTGTTTTTCTGGAAAGCCCAGCATTATTGAGATTTCTAGTCATTTTTCCCCCTTTAATTTTGAAATCTCAAATCTGAAATCTAAATAATATATTAGGCATAATCCATCTCAGGTGCTGGCAAAACCAAAGACACTATGAATAGTCACCTACGTCTAACCTGAATGACGTCTGTGTTCTATTACCTATTTCTGTTTTCTCATATTACACTCAGTAATTCAGCCAAAACACACTGCTGCAACACCTGGCCTCCCCAGACAGAGGGGCCGGGATGGAGAGTGCTGACACTGCAATCTTGAGTCCTGAAGTTCTCTGCAACAGTGACATAGGCAGCATTTCTCAGACTCTCCTCAACATAATCTTAAGTATTTGCGTGCCTAGAGAACTAGAGGCAAGAAAAAAAGCATCTACTTGTTCTTCAAAGTCTCCTGGTTTAGCCGTAGAATTCATAAAAATATTATTCACCATAACATATTCATGTTGGATTAAAAACCACTTGCTGTCAAAAAAATCTTCAAATAAAACTGGGGAAACATGTAACTTTCCTACCATGATTTGCTTACATTGGTCACTTAGACTCCACCCTGAGAACTACTTTCCTATGAAAACAATTGTCTAATACTCCATATACAATATTAGCCCCATTCTGCCTCTCTCTAATCCCTGGAATACTGTATCGTGAGTTTCTTCGGAGTACTTACTGTAACCTGACATGTTATGTGTCTACTACTGCCTCATCCTTCCACTCTAAAAGCAAACACTCTCTTTCCTATTTGGTTTGAAGACCTAGGAATGTACCTCAAATATCATTCAATAACTATTTGTTAGTCTTGAGTAACTAGATGGGCAGAGATCACAAAAATCCTCACTTCTATTCATTAAATAAAAATCATTCTGTATCTTTTTTATACCCTCATAATGCTGTGGCATGATGGACTGTAGTCATTCTAAGTGGTACCTCATATAAAGTATTACTGTAATAGTGCTGCATATATAAATATTGCTTTAGCATGGCTATCAGAAAACCAGTTTAGATCTGAAGCATGCATTGCATTTATACACTGCTCTGAAAGAGTCATTCTCAACCAGGGATAGTTCTGTTCCTCAGTGGACATTTGACGATATCTAGACATATTTTGGGGTCATCAAAACTTGAAAGGGCACTCTGGGTAGAAGCCAGGGATGCCAGTAAATTTACAATGCTTGAAACATCTATGTTTTGAAAACAAAGCATACCTAATGATTGAACCATTGCTATCACTCCAGTTTTCTTGAGAAAATACCACTGAGGAGACAAGGGATGCAGAAGAAGATGAGTAGAAACAGAGAAGGCTCTTGTAGAAGTTATATAACTTGGGAACATAGCCTATGGCTTGTCAGGACTTCAGAAAGCAAAACAAAGCCAGGTGTGATAACTGCCTGTAATGCCAGCACTTGGGAAGAAGGAAGGCATTTACTTACACTAAGCAAAGGAAGAAACTACACAGTGCATGTAAGACTGAGAATGACTCAGCCTGGTCAGATCTGGCAGCTCATGCAACACTCTAGGGAAATGAGGCCCCATAACCAAGTAGAGTGAGGCTTAACAACAGCAGCAGCAACAACATCAAGCCCCCTACTGTCTGGAAAGCATGCCTTTTCTTTAAACATCATAGTTAGATACAGCATAAAAACACATTTCAAAGATGATATATGAAAACCCCAGTGCTTAAACAAAGCAGTCATTTTTTAATGTACTGATACTCCAAACAGCATTAGACTAAGTCAGCTAAGGCTGCGAAGAGCTCTTAAGCAGGCAGTATTTACCTTTCTGTGTCAAGCACTTCTTCGTTTTTCATCCATCTAATGACTGGAGCAGGAAGTCCTGAGGCAACACATGGCAACACTGCACTCTGACCAGTGACTTTGATCACAGAAGATGGTCGCATCACAAATACCAAATCTACAATTTCCTCAGGATCTAAAGAGAGTTCAAGTGAGACAATAATTAAGTAGAAGCGAAAGCACCTTACAGCTGTAGCTGAGAAGAACAGCTGATTCCTACTCAGGCTGTGTAGCTTTATGTGGCAAAATAAGCAAAACTAACCCAAGAAAATTCCGTTTGAACAGCAAACATTCCTCACGTACTTTCTACGTGTGAAGTACAGTGTAGGTTATTTAGGGAGTCTTAGAGATATTTAGGTGATAGTTCCTGCGTACATGGTGCTTTCTGGTCAAATGAGTAACGCAGAACATGAATCTATAGAACGCCGTGTGAGGGTACAAACAGCAGAGGTTCAACAAACTCAATAGCTGCGTGTCCCTCCCAATGACTCCCTCTCCTTTCTTTTCTTGTGCCTATTATGTCTGAAAGTCTTTCTGAGTTTTCTTCTCTAGTCTATCAAGCCTGTCACAGAAGTGCATGCCATTAGTCTCAGGAAGCGGAGGCAAGGATCTCTGTGAGTTAAGTCAGCCTGGTCTACATAGGGAGTTCCAGGTCAGCTAGGGCTGCAGAGTGAGATTTGTCTTAGGAAAAAAAAAAAAAACAATCAAAAACTAAAAAACTAATCTATAATTCTTCGATTTTGTAATGTAGCAACTATCTAGATACCATTATATTCATAAGCATGTATGTGCACGTTTTATAGTTGTCCTCTTGCAGACATATGACATGGCCACACTCCTACTGATATCAAAAAGTTAAGTGTTTTACTTAATGGAATCTGAGAAGATCATTCTCAGGTAGAGACTTAATTCCTGTCCCCAATGTCAGGTGAGGTGTTCTCTATAGTCATGGTTACAATCACCAAAATGGTCTTTAAACCGATCTAGCCAATTAATGATAGTTTTGTAGCCACGGTAACAAGTACACACTACCTAACAAGATGAGTAACAATTCATGTCAGTGAATATACTTCTAGAAGCCAATCAGTGACAAGCCCTGCCTTTAAAAGTCAGCCAACCAACAGCTGAGTTGTTAGCTTAGTTCTAAGGCTGATACCTGTACCCACCTGTGCAGCCAACACTGAAACAGGCTTGTGACTGAAATAAGACCGCTCTCTTTCAACCAACATGACCTCTCAAAAACTCTGTAGGAGTGCAGAAGGTGGCTGTGCTGCAAATGCCTGTCAAGAAAAGCTCTCTTCCTACTTAAATAAGCCAATGTCCAGAATTTTGTTCTTATTTCAAGTACTAAGTCGTGGCTCCATTACTTAAAACCACTAACCTTGTTTTCTTGGATTGGATTCTGAGGAGCTGCTTGAACACTATCTCAGGGGTGGAGGGGAAAAATGACCAGCTGACTCCAGCGAGTCAGCTGGAGGACACTGTTATGTAGCCACAGCTTCTTTAATTACATTTGCAATTACTTAGGAGTAATAAATTAAAATTACCTTGCTTATAAATTTATATCTATAAATGTAAATATACTTAATCAAATTTAACAGAGTTAATTCAGAAAATTTATAACAAATATTTACTGGTTTCTATGTGCCAAAAAAAAAAAATCCATCGCTCTCACTGAGCATATATGCTAATAATGGAAGAAAGGCAAATTACATATTGTATACAACAACTATGTTGATACATATTTCCTAGAGGAGAAAGGAAAAAGCATTGGAGGTGAAAAATAACAGGTGTTGTCTGAAACAGAATATCTAAGGGACAATTCACTCATAAAGTGATACTTGAGCACTGAAGGAAGAGGGTGAGCCACACATACAAGATTCTATGCAGGGGACATATCAAATAGGAAAGCTCTAAAAGTTCTAAAAGCTCTGGAACTGTTATAAAAGCATACACTTGTCACAACTGAGAGAGGGGTGAAGAGGAGGAGGAAAAAGAAAGGTAAAGGAGGGGGAGGTATTAAGATTAAAGGCCAAAAACTTTAACTGTGGATGACATAAAGAAACCATCAGGAAGTGTGACTGCTGGCTAGATTGTATGTCAATCTGACACAAGCTATGGTCATCTGGGAAGAGAAAACCTCAACTGAGAAAATATCTCCATCATGTTAGCTTGTAGGCAAGCCCGTGGGGCACTTTCCTGATTAGTGATTGATGGAGGGCCCAACTCACTGTGGGAAATGCCACCCTGGGCAAGTGGTCCTGAGTTGTAAGAGAAAGCAGGTTGAGCAAGTCATGTGTGAGTGTGTCAGTACGCAGTGTTCCTCTGTGGCTGTACATTGGTTCCTACCCTGACTTCCCTTAGTGATAGAATGTGACCTGTGAATTTTAAGACACACTTCTTTCCCAAGTTCTTTATCATTGTACTAGGAAACCTAACTAAGACGGAGCAAAGATCATCTATGTCGAAAACTGGTTACTGAGAATACTGTAGGATAAGAATTACATGGGCAGGGATGGTAACAACAACAAAAGAAGCTACATTTAAAAGAAAATCAGTTCAAGGTCCATCAGCAACATCCTCACAAGTGACAGACAGCTCGTGACAGTGGTCTGACACTACCAGCCAGTTTACATGTTATAAGTAAGTCTACAAACTAGTCATATATTTATCTGAACAGGAATCCTAAACAAGTCAGAGACAGCCAAATTATATTTATAGTTTGAATTTGAAATGAGACATACATAAAGAATTAAGCACTCAGCAGGTCATACAGCAGCAGTTGGCTGTGTTGACAATGAGATTCAAGTGAGAGGCTAGGAGCAAGGAGAAGCTACATAACTGGAAAAAGGGTGCACAAAGCTGATTACGAGAAAGAGTGAGACGGCAAAAAAAGGCCGGGAGACCTAGGCTTACACTGGAACAGGAGTGCCTTGGGGTGTCACCGGTTACACAGTTAAGTTACTGACTATGGTTACTGTTCTACCTGTCCCTTACATGAACTACCTTGGGCAAGATTCTTTTAAATAAGACAAACAAAACGAAACAAAACAAAAAAACTAACTATAAAAAGGTATGGTATTGTGGGGAAGATAAGAGACTAGAGGACTGCTAGGCATGGTGGGGACACGACCTATAGTCCCAGCTCTTAGGGTAGGCAGGAGGATCAATTAAAGGTCATCTTGCCTCAGCCTCTCAAGTGCTGAGGTTATAGGTCTATGCCATCATGCACAGCTATTCTGATAAATTTTCATTTTTATTTTATTTGGTTAATTTTTGTTTTTTAAAGATAGGGCCCCTCTGCATAATTGTGGCTGGCCTAGAACTCAGAGATTGGCCTGCTTCTGCCTCCGGAGTTCTGGGATTAAAGGTGTGTGCCACCATGCCTCTGATAAAATTTTAATAATATATTAACTAAACAATGGGCCATTTCTTCTTCTTCTTCTTTTTTAAAGACAGGTTCTCACTATGAAGCTTTGGCTGTCCTGAAACTCACTATGTAGACCAGGCTGGCCTTGAACTCACAAAGATCTGCCTGTCCTCCTAAGTGCTAAAATTAAAGATATGCACCACTACACCTGGCTTTAAACAGTGGATTTTTATGGCTTTCCCCCATTCTTTTTATCACCTTAAAAAAGACTGAACATACTATATTAACAGTATATGTCTCACATTTTATTTGTGTTTATTAAAAAAACTATAGTAGAACAGTTTTATCTGTTAAATACAAAACCACCAGTCCTGACAATACCTTGAAGAACTTTCAATTCAGCTTCATCACTAAACTTTGGTGGCCCACCACTGTCAACAACGCAGCGGTAGAGTCCCCCATCTCCTTCAGTCGCATTGCTGATAACCAGTGTCCCACTTGGAAGTTTGACAATCCTGTCATCCAGAAGAAGGGGCTGTCTATTCTGTTCCCACCTAACAAATGGGACCAAATCTGCATTAACTTCACAATTCAGAATTGCACTGTTTCCAACAAAGACTGAAGAAGGTTCTGGTTGGCTGGTAAATCTTGGGAGACCTAGACAAATAAGAAAAAATAAAAAGTCATTAAATATTACTTTAAAATATAGTCATATAGGCTAGCACCAAGACAGCTCATGTGGCCACAACATATGGCGTAATCAGAGCCAAGAAGGTTCATGGATCAAAAATTTGACTAGATACACAGATACAAAGCAAATAGCTAATAAATAACCACATTAAGGATAACCTACATCAGATTCCTCACAGCTGAAAAAGCAAGGTACAGTGTGGAAAAAGATAAGAATAGAGTAAATGCTATAGTATATTCCATGATGAAAGTACTCAGTGTAGACTTAAAGATTGTCTAACTACAGATATAGAACTATATAACTGTAAAGATGTGGGTAAATACGCATTTTGTATATAACTAAAGAACATGCATTAATATTCAAGTACACACACACACACACACACACACACACACACACACTTACTCCCTAACCCTGAATCAATGTCACTTCTTTAACAGTGAGTCCAAATGGTGACTTTATCTTGATTTCTAAGTATCATTTTCACTGCAAGGAACCAGAGTTCCTGGATTAGAGGCTGACTCTAAGAGTGAAATAAGGGAAGAACAAGATAAGACAGTTTCCCCCTTTATGCCATTAGATCAAGTTTTAACCTTAAAATATAGGGAAAGAACTGTTTAGAACAAAAATCAAAACTGAAAAGTCTATAGACTAATGACACTAACACATTATTAAACCATAGACAAGAATCTGTTGACTCATGTTAATAGCAACAAGCACGTGGAATAAGTAGAAGGAATAGATCTACTCAATAGAGACAACATAATTTGAAACAACAATAGGCATTCAGCAACTACTGTCTTAACAACTGATTCAGGCAACAGTCTTACAATGGATGGTACAACTATTAGTGAAAATTGATGAGAAATAGTGTATTTATAAAATACCAAAACATTCTTCCCCCCAAACAGTAATCATTAATTACGAAAACACACCTTCTTTTGAAGTGGAGAAATATGACACAGATCATCTTAAGTAATAAAGCAAATACCATTAGCAATAAAACATTACATACTTCAGTGTGCCACACTGAGAACACTGTATTACTCCCATGGTATTCCTCCCCAAAATAAAAAATCTCAATCTCTTCATAGGAGGAAATCAAATTCAAAATTAGACAAGAAAAGCTTGAGATCCTATTAGATATCAAAGGAGAATAAGAATATAATTATAAAATGACACATGTGATCTTAGACCAGAGAGTTGGTTTCTACCTCCCCCCGGCCCCTGGGATCTGTGAAATCTATATTAAATAACAGTATTACATCAATTTTTTAATTTTGATGAAAGTCTATGGTTATTTAGGAGAATGTCCTTGTTCTCAGAAAATTCACACTTACACAGTTAGGCAGATATAACAGTAACATGTCTGCCACTTTCTACTCTTAGTGGTTCAGGGGAAAATGTGTATTTGGGTAATATGCTAGATAGTTTTATCTCAACTTGACACAAAGTACAGTTATCAAAGAAGAGGGAACCACAGTTGAGAAAATTCCTCCATAAAACTGCCCCATTGGTGCTGTCTTGATGATTGACGTGGCAAGGCCCATCTCACAGTGGGTGGTGCTACCCCTGGACAGGTGATCTTGGGTGCTATAAGAAAGCAGGACAAACAAGCCATGGGCAGCAAGCCAGTAAGCAGCACTCTTCATGACCTGTGCTTCAGTTTGTGCCTCCAAATTCCTACCTTGCTTGAGTTGCCTACCCTGACTACCTACCTGATAGAATATGAACAGAGAGGTATAAGCTGAAATAACCCTTTCCTCCCCAAACAGCTTTTGGTCCATGTTTTGCCACAGCAATAGAAACCAAACTTAAGATAGGGAATGACAAAGTAAATGTTGAAAAATGTTAACCAGGAAATCAGGAAGACATGTAAGACTTGTAAAAGCACATGAGAGTTCTTGGTTCTCTCTTCGTAACTACCCTCTAAGTTTGAAATTGCTGAAGTTCTGAATATTCTGTTGATGCCACAGAACATAATGGCTAAGAGCATTTGTTCACCACTGGAATCCCAATCTTGAGTTTAAATGAACTCCATCTTTTATGGTTATATAAAGGTGGTAAGTTACTGCTTCTAAGCTTCAGTTTCTTCATCAGTTAAATGAAAACAGACTAAAGAAGTTAACCTGAGTAATTCATATAGCACACTGCCTGGCATATAAACAACATCTATTAATAACTACTTTACAAGTAGTTCTAATGTGCTCAGAATACAACAAAATGTTCCTGTAAATACTAAGAAATAGATTATGAACAATTATTCTAGGCTGATTTTATGATGGTAAATTAGTCCAAATAATAACACCTAAGCTTTCTAGTCCTACTATGTATTTTCCTTGTTTTTATATTTAGGAAAATTTCAAAGAAAACCACTAAATATAAAATAGTTCAAATATCTATTTGGCAAAGAAGAAACAAACAAAAATCAGGGAAAAGGTAACTAATAAAGATAAACATAGAATCTAATAAAGCTAGGTGGAGGGAACTTAAAATCACAGGAAGAATTGTCTTCTAGGTTTTTAATAAAAAAAAAAAAAACTCCCTTGTCTTGTGAAAATGACTAATTTTCAAAAGCATAAGCCCATAACAACATATGGGGATTTGTCAGACAAGAAATTTCAAAGAGTTCTGAACAGGGAAAACAGATGTAAGAACTAGTAAGTGGCATATCAAGGCAAAGGCTGCCTAGCTTCCTGTGCTCCTGCTGCCTCTGCAGAAGTGAGAGAGAAAGAGTGGGAGTAAGACAGGAAGCTGGCATGAACGGATCGAGGACGTCTGTACTAAGACCACGCCATTCCATAGCCTTTGAGCACCAAACACACACAGCCACACTACTCTCCAGACAAAACAAGTGTCATTTGTGCAGAAGTAAAGACAGCCCAGAGAAAAAGCACTCTCTTATTTAAATCTACAAACTACTTCTTTAATATTTCTTGAAAACTTCCCTGTTTTCTGGCCAAAACAAAAACTAGTTCTGTTTATAACCAAATATATCTGTAGTCTTTTAAAATGACTAATTTGGTAGTATCTTTTAAAAATGATTTTTGAAAACACTTTTTAATAAATAACTTGTACACCATGAAGTTTCCCACTTGAAGTACACGACTCATTATGAGCGGTGCTATGTAACCATCTCTATAAGCTCACCCTTTAGCATCTCTTAAAGAAACTACTCATTGTATGCCTTCTACTGCTGCATTCATGTCCCATTTGCTGCCAGGTACTTAGCCCTAGGAAACCCACTCACCAATCTATTACCCCTCTACACATTTCCCTATTCTGGGCACTTTGTATATATGAATTTAAACAAGTGTATAGTCACAGTTGACCCATGTAGACATACTGCATTATGACTTCATTCCTTTTTTATTGATGAAGAATATTCTACTACATGGATATTTCATATTTTGATGATCTAGTCATCATCTGGTAGATATTTAGGTTATTTTCACCTTTTACTTATTATAAATAGTGCTGCTATGAATAGTAGTCATGTATATTGTGTGGACGAATGTTCTCAATTCTCTTGAAAACTGGTGGGTCCTACAGTAATTCTGGCTAACATTTTAAGGAAATGTAAAACTGGTATCTTTTAAAATTACACACATATAAGCAAAAGGTCAGCCTTTAACTGTCAGTGGAGAAAACAAGAGAAAGGGCTGAAAAATAGAGAATGTTTGAACAAAAACTCAACACTTGGTACAGCTAGTGCTAAAAACGGTTAAAAGGTGGGGTATGGAGGGGTTGGGGCGGGGTAGCTATAGAATATAAGAAATGAAACTAGAGAGCTGGATACAAGCTCCTAAGAGAAATCAAGATCTCTAAGGTAAGAAACTTAGGTATTAACAATGTTACAGAATGATGGAAGTGCTCTCATCCCAGGGTGAGACTGGAGTAAAGATAGCACAATGAGGTGGCAGACCAGCACGGGCAGACTGTGGCAAGGAAAGTCAAGGGTCATCTCAGGAAAGAGAAACTGAACCAATACAGAAAAATCAGGAGGCAGGATACAAGGGTTTTGGTGGTGGGGTTTAGTGCACAGCAGAGAAAAAGGGTTGTGAGTAAGAGACCAGAGAAGAAATGTTAGAGCATAAATGAAAAGCAGAAGTCTGCCTAAATGACATTACAGAGGAGGTCAGTACACCAATTCATTTATACATACTGTAGAGAGTATGGGGGAGGGCGAGAAGAGAAAATTCGTGGCATTAGCCTGTGTCCCCCCCCCCCCTTTTTATTTTCCTGTGATTGTGGATGACTACTGTAGTATTAAGTCATACCCAAATTAAATTCTGAGTATTAGACTCAGAAACGAAAGGGTGGTATCACCCTCTAAGTCAGTGGGTCTCAAGCTTCCTAATGCTAAGAACCGTTAATTCAGTTTTCATGCTATGGTGACACCCAATCAGCAAATTATTTTTGTTGCTATTTTATAACTGTAATTTTGTTCCTGTTATGAACTGTAATGTAAATATCCATGTTTTCTGATGGTCTTAGGCAAACGCTGTGAAAGGCTTGAGAACTGCAGCTCTAAGTGACTGAGCATGCGGTAAAAGCCTATCATCCCACAGTGGGAAGAAGTAGGAGATGGCTATCACCATCAGGCCCATGCCCACACACGTGCAGCAGACCAAGGTGAGTAAAACAGCATGGCCCTCCACAGGATGACTTCATCTGACATGCAAGAAACCCTTCCAGAGAATACATCTTTGGTAAGCACATCTTATTTCTGTAGATCCTTAATTTCTCTTACATTCGCCATCATTTAACAGAGGTCCTTTGAAAAGGACTTAGTATTCCTCTTGTTACAACTTCCTGCTTTTAGTCTGCCTTGTATAATGATAATGTTAAGAGCGCTGTATTTTTCTAAATAAATACTGTCTATTTCCTAGTTGAAGTTTAACGTACTGACTTCCTCTATAATACCATTCCCGCCAGGCTTCTACTTATCATTTATGCTCTAACAATCTCTTCTACAGCCTCTTATCTTATCTCTTTTCTCTTTGCTGTCCACTAAACCCTAGCACCAGGAACCAGCCTTCTGGCTTTACTAAAGTTCTACTAAGCCATACTGGTTATTATGAGTAGGTTTTAAAGACATTAATTTTCCAACAGAACTACCTCTATTTCCAAGTTAAAAAGAAAAAACTGATAGCAACTTTGAACCTTCAGACAGGCAAAATAATAATAATAATAATAATAATAATAATAGACCAGTTTGTTCTGCAAACCCCCTAAGCAAATGAGTCTAGTCTCATAAGCAAGAACATATATACAACTGGCATCCTAAATGACTTATTATCAATTACGTGAAAAGTATGGCACACTGGTTTGATTTAGATTTAGATCTTATAAAAATAGAAAAATCCAAGTAAATCACTTAACAGGACTTACCTGCTACTGTGAGCTTGGCTGTTCGGCTGACAATAGTTCCAAGATTATCAACAGTGGCTACACATTGGTAGAAACCTTCATCGGGCTTATTGTGTTTGGAATGCACCACGCTGCTGATGAATAAGGATCCATCTGGGAGAAGCTGGCGGCGATCATCTGATATTAAGTTTAAGAAAGTTCCATCTTTCTTCCATTCGATAGTTGGAGAAGGCTCGGAATATGCCGAGCAGTTTAATATAACAGAAGAGCCTCTAACTGAGAGTGTGTCTACTGGCTCCACCAGAAAGTAAAACGGAGTGAATGCTCGAACACTGGCTCCTACAAAAATAACAAAAGAGGACAAGCTAAGTAAAAGTGTCTTCTGTTATTTCTATAAAAATGTACAACATATTCAAAGATTAATTTCAGATTACTGCTAAATGATACACCATTGATGTCTAAATAAAGTTTACTGCTAAAAAACCAAATGACTCATTTAGAATATCTTACTAAAAGAAACTTGTGATAAGCCCTATTAGATAATATGAGTAGCTAATAAAAGTCTAATTTAAAACTCCCCAATGGAGTTAAAGTTCTTGTAATCAAAGTCAAGTTTTTCAAAGAACAAAAACGAGGTAGAAAACTGATATGATTCACTGTAAATAAAATATACTTTACATTAGTTACTTGCACTTTTAATAAACACGGTATCTATTTTGCACATTTTCCTAGTAGGGTATTCATCCTCTTAACTTACAAGCAACCACTGGTGATAATAATCACATTTCCAAATATTCCCTTCTATCTGACTTGTATAATTTTTTTTTATAAGAAAAGAAGTATCTTCTAGCCCAAGAAGACATCTCAGAGAGTAAAGCGCTTACTTGCTGCACAAGTATAAGGATCTAAGTTTAGCAGCCTACCATCTACATAAAAGCTGGCAGTGCAAAGCATGCCCAGTGCTTCCCAGAACCGTGCTGGCCAACCAGTCTAGCCAAAACAGGAAGCTCTAGGCTCCATGAGAACACCTGTCTTTAAAACTAAGGCAGACAATGATTGAGGAAGACACCCAACATTGACCTCTGTTCTCCACAAGTCCATGCAGAGATATGCACTTTTTCTTGTGCATGTGAACAAACAAAATTTTTAAAAATAAGAAATATTTTAAACTACACAAAATTAATGTTATTCTTGGGTAAGTTTTCTTAAGAATATTAAATTCTTAAAATACTTTTTAGATTTATTTTATGTGTATGAATGTTTTGCTGAATGTATGTGCACCATGTACATGCTCTGCCCACAGGGGTCAAAGGAGAACTCCTAGTGATGTAAAGAGCACAGAACTCAGTTCAATCTTTCTAAGTCTTTGGCTGGCACTGTGAACATATGAAGAAAGAAATTATAAATAAAACTTTTGCTATAAACTTTGCATCTTAGCCAGATAAAGCTTCACCCTTTATTTAAGAAAGATGGAAAGAAGGAAAGAAAAAAGGGAGGTAGGGAAGGAAGGAGGGAGGGAGGGAGGGAGGGAGGGAGGGAGGGAGGGAGGGAGGGGAAGAGGGAAGGAGGGAAGGAAAGGAAGGAAGGGAGGGATGAAGGAGAGAAAGAAAATCTATTGTCCAATTGGTATGTAAAGAAGTCAAGCTGTAATCAGGCTTCACCTTCAACAAAGTCTATCTCAATCACATTAAGACTGTTATTTATAAATTATTTAAATTGTGACTTTCAATACACTAATCCTGTATTATAAAAAATGAGTGGTTGGTTCTAAATAAATGTGAAACAGAATGATAGAAGGAAAAACAATAAATAGAAACTTTTCAACTGTTTAAAAAGTTGTCCAACACTTAGAAACCTAGATAAATTCCAAACCAATATTTAGTATTAGAAAAAATGTTCCAATCTCGATTCCACATGACGAGGCTTACGAAATGTATGTTGCGAGTATTAAAACCTCTGGAAAGGAACTTGGCAATTTTCAAAAAGTAACCAAAAGCTATTTTACCTATTCCTATTAAAATGTTCACTGCGTTAACTTTCTAGACATATGGAAGGTACAAAATGGTAGCTAAGCTGCGTTCTACTTACTTCTGTCTTTCTGTGTATTGCACCTACACTACACAACCTAAATCTAACCCAGGAACTCAAAAGAGAGCATTTTATTAGCAGTGAAAACATGCAAGTTTAACTATTTAAAGCATATTACATATATAATGCACAAACAATTTTTTAAAAGCATTAATACAAAACTTCTACCATTAAAAAATATCAAAATAGCCGGGCAGTGGTGGCGTACACCTTTAATCCCAGCACTTGGGAGGCAGAGGCAGGCGGATTTCTGAGTTCGAGGCCAGCCTGGTCTACAGAGTGAGTTCCAGGACAGCCAGGGCTATACAGAGAAACCCTGTCTCGAAAAACCAAACCAAAAAAAAAAAAAAATACATACATACATACATATATATATATATATATATCAAAATAAACTAGTCATAATCTCAGCAGGGAGAGGTGAAAAAGCTCAGAAGTTTAAGGTCCCCTCCACTGAGTCCAGTCTGGACTACAGGAGAGTGACAAACAAAATCAAAAGATGACTGCAATGATTTAAGTGGTTTATGTTTTAACATTGTCTTGCTTTTTTATCTTGTTAAAAAAAAACACATCTAAACTTGCACTACACACACACACACACACACACACACACACACACACACACAGACCTTTTTGAGATAAAGTCTCAAGTAGCCCAGGCCTTGCAAGAATCCTGAACTTGCTAAGTAGGGGAGGGTGGCCCTGTACTTTTGATGCTCCTGCCTCAGCTTCCCAAGTGCTAGTATCACAAAGATACCACAGCAATCACATGAAGGTAGCACAGTTAAGTGTCAAAAACTACTTTGAACTCAAGGTTCACAGTTTTCGGCAAATACTGCCTGGTAGCGTATATGTTTCACAAGCCCTCTACCCACCACCCACCAGAGGTAGTGGAAAGAAAGGTTATTAGGATATGGGGGAAGTGGACCTGTTTAGAAATAGTTCTTTGGGGCGATTCTGATCTTCACTGTTCTCAGTCCAGTCCACCACCAAACACCAAACATGAATCGGCAACTGCAGTCCAGTCCACTCAGCAGACCCCACACACGAATCAGCAACAGCAATTCAATCCAGAAGAAACAAACCATGAGGCTTGCCAACCAGCCTGAGTCTGCAGAAGTGGCAAGAAGCCACAGAAACGTCACCAGAAATTCTTTGGTGAGTTTCACTCTATGAAGTCACCACCAGCAAAGCTTTGCAACAATATAAGGTGAACCAAAACATGCCTATTGCCACCAAAGACTATGAGGTGCAGCAAGGCGAACCAAAGCTCCCACTGTCTGTGGAGTCATATTTATATTCTTTCTAAACATCATGTGTCCTTTCACGTTTTTGCTATAGCAAAACATTCTTTTACCTGTCTGTTCCAGCAAAACAACATTATAACCCAAGTCCCCAAAGAAACCAGGAATTTTCATGTCACTGCTGTCTTCCAAAAGTCTGAAACACTCCTGAGAGTTCTCTGAAGTGCCTTGGACTATACACCTCATTGTGATCTGCTAGCTAAGAATTTGTATTTTCCCAGTATTTTTTATTCAGTCGCATTCCTAATATGCTCTTCATGCAGTAGATAGGTTTCACCTCTATGTTATACAACAGATAATTTCTAAAGCCAAGATCACTGTTTAAAGTGTGAATAAGATCAGAGTCTCCAGTCTAGCTAGCTAGTTAGTAGCATGTCTCTCTTCCACGCTAAGACTTTGTGACAGATGTTTTCTAAATTCGGATGAGTTTCTAAAATATTGTATAGAAGAAAAAAAGAGGGCCAAGAAAAGCCAAAATAACTTTATAAAAGAAAGGAAAGGGCCTTCATGTCAGTTCTTAGAACTGTTAAGCAACCACAGTTCAGAAGCAGAGGATTAAAGAAAAAGCCACACAACAGACTTTGAAGCCTATAAATAAAGACACTTTGGGGAAAAGAATGAAATTCAGACTGGAGAGATGACCCCTAATTGCTCTGCAAAAGACACAGTTCAGTTACAGGGAATCCAGTGCTCCACTTCTGGCCTCCTTAAGCACCAGGCACACATGTGGTCCATATATATGTATATGCAAGCAAAACATTCACGTATTTAAAGTATAAATAAATATATCTTTGTTGTTAAAATTTAAGATGAACTATTCAATAAATGTCACTAAGACAACTGGTTCTGTGGGGGAAATGAGATACCGTCTGGCAACATGTAATAAATAGCAAGCATTTAGGTTTCTGTGTGCTAAGCACTGTTATAAACATTTTCCACATCTGCATCACTCATTTGGGAGAAGTGGTCCTAGTATCGTCTCCATTTCATTGAAGAGAGCAGCAGAGAAATGTTAAGTAACAGGTAAGAACAGAACTTGAGTCTAAGATCTCAGGTAGTACAACATATTACTGTACACATCTATAAAAATTCATTCCAAACATATATAAAAAGTATGTAATAAAAATCATAGAAGAAATTTTAGGAAAAAACAAGTATAACCTTGTACCTTAGACAGCCTTTTAAATAAAAAGATGAAACTTCATAGAAACAGGAAAAAAAGATAATTGAATTTGAAAAACACATTAATTACACTTTTGCAAAGCATAGAAAAAAAAAGCAAGAATACAAAGTAGAGAAAAATGACTTGTATACAAGAAAGAATTAAACAGTCCAAACTACTCAGCAGAAAAATTGGTAAGACTGTATCCCAATAAAGCCATCACAATCCGTGGAAGGACGGTCTGGATCCACTCATAAAGCTCAACAGTCCCCACCTGCCTCAGAGTGTTATCCAGGCAAAGCTAAGCAATGTTTTTAGTCGGCCTAGAGTTCTGTAGAAAATGAGTAAGGCCAATGAGTATAAATTATAGCTTCATAAGTATGTGAGTGCATAACCACTGAGAAAGGTAGGAAAGTGTACATCGGTTTGTTACTCCTGGTTACTGTGAAGGAAAAAGATGAGAAGATAAAGGGGTAAAAATCAAAATACATATAAAACAGCTTCACAACTTAAAAAAATCATTTACTGTTCAGCGACCATCTGCAGGGAGCAGAGAAATACTTTTTAAAGGCTCTATCGTTTAACAGCTTTCCTTGTGGCACTGCAGAGAGCTCAGCTGACTATGTAAAAGCTGACCCGTACATCTTGCCAGTCCTCGTAAGACATCTACATTGTCTGTATACAATTAGTTCACAAGGGCAGAGTCACTGGACAAAACACACTGAAATAATCTTAATGGATCCTGTCTGGTATCTCTTTCATTTCCAAGTCTCTACAAATTTCTCACTTCTTGATAGAATAGTTCTCACTTCTTGATAGACTCTTCCTCACTTTTTAATAGACTACTTCACACCTTTTGAAAGAATACCATCCTAGGAAAGGACACATTCACAGGGAACTACTTTCAGTTACAAGCACCATCCCCACAATACCAACAAATGCAACTGTATGCTTCATACGAGCTGTAAATTTTATGGTACCTAGAGTAAGATATCAACACATGGTATTTTAACGGCAGCAGAAATAAAACCCCTGCTCTTTTTCAGGAAGAAGTACAAAGTTCAAGGGCAGAAATCCAGAGCAAGCCTCTGTATAAACCTAGAAATAAAAGCAGTCTGTGTAATTTTCTTCACTGTAAGAAAATTATCTCTTTACAAACTGAGATTCTACTCTCAAGTGACTTCCTGTTTCCTTACACCCCAGTGTTATCCCCTACCACCAAGCACATCCCAAACCGCTTCCCAGTGTGATATTTCACCTTATCCTTTTCTGTTCTGTGTTGCCCTATAGCTCAGGCTTAAGCTCTCAGTTTTTAATTAAAAATCTAAAAAAAAAAAAAAATTGGAAAGTTAAAGTGATGTAACATTCAAAGTGCACAACTTAATATATTTATATTATCAATTTTACAGATATTTAGAAAGTGGCAAGTTTTCTCTACTATTTTACTAAATAACATTTTAGCAATTTCAGCTTCTGTCACAGCTTACTGTCTCTGCACAGCTAACTCTTCCAAAGGCTGAACTCACCTTAAAAGCATCATCCTTTGTATCTTCTAACCACATACAACCTTTTTTCTAGTGGAAAATACATTCATCTTAATCATAAGTACGTAGAGCAAGGAACTGAAGGCAGACGTAGAAGAAACAAAATAGAAATAAAGAAATTCAAGATCTAGTCTGGATTTTGGTTGTTGTACTTCTGAGACTGAATGGGAATTATGGACAAGGTGTAAAGGTATAAAAATAATCATTAAAGTTTCCTGAGTGTTCACTGTGCATTAGGCACTATTTTAAGCTTTATGAGAATTTCCTTAGGCTACATCACTAATGGTAAGAATTACCATTTCTGATTTAAAACCTTTTACTACAAAAATGAATAAAAAATTGTTCCAAAGTAATTGAGCTAGCTGAACCAAGATCATAATCACTACATGTGCATGGGTAAGTGATACAACTGCCCCAACAAAGGTTTACAAAACAGAGCCATGATCAAGAACTGAAACTTCCAGAATTGTGAGCCAAAATAAATCCCTCTGCTCAACACTGCTTTTCTTAGGTATCTGTCACAGCAACAAAAACTCTAAACAGGCTGGGAGCAAAAATTTTATAGAAAACAATGTGTCACACAGAGGAGCTTGAGATGTAACTCAGCTGGTAGAGTACCTGTCTGGCGTTCACTGGCTGAGTTCTATTCCCCAGCACCATATAAACAACCATTGTCAGGAGTACCTGAAATCCAGCACTTCAAAGTACTAGAAGGATCAAAAATTCAAGGTCATTCTTAGCTACATAGCAAATTTGAGGCCATCCTGGTATATAGAAGACTGTCTCAAACAAAACAAAATGCCGTAAAACTCAAAAGACAAAGGGGCAGAGCACAGCAGAAGCCAAGGAGCTATCTGAACGAGGGTGCACTGCCTTGAGCCCAGTTGTTATATACACACTGAGGTTATACACCACGATCATGCACTGATGGCTGAAGCAAGAATGGTTTCAGTAAAATATATGGAATAAGGAGCAAGAATGGGGAGAGCACTACCACAGGAAAATGGACACCCATGTAACAGTGAGACTCCATGTAAAGTAGCTGCCATAGTTGAGAAAACACAAATATGATTAATGTAATTTTGAAAAGGGAAGCAATCATTTAAAACTTCAAGGCAAGCAAGATGGTGACATGACAGGGAAGTTAATTAAGAAGGTTAAAGGTATCGCAATTTTATGAGATCCTGTTTGTCTATAGTTGATCTTATGAGCCTGGGCCATTGGTGTTCTGTTCAGGAACTTTTCTCCTGTGCCCGAGTATCCGAGGTCCTTCCCCACCTTCTCCTCTATTAGTTTCAGTGTATCTGGTTCTATGTGAAGGCCTTTATCCACTTGGACTTGAGCTTTGTACAAGGAGATAAGAATGGATCAATTTTCATTCTTCTACATGCTGACCACTACTTGAGCCAGCATCATTTGTTGAATATGCCATCTTTTTTCCACTGAATGGTTTTGGCTTCTTTGTCAAAGACCATGTGATCATAGGTGTGTGGGTTTAATTCTAGGTCTTCAATTCTATTCCACTGATCTTCCTGCCTGTCTCTGTACTATTACCATGTGGTTTTTTAATCACTACTGCTCTGTAGTACAGCTTGAGGTCAGGGATGGTGATTCCTCCAGAAGTTCTTTTATGTTAAGAATAGTTTTCACTATCCTGGGTTTTTTGTTATTCCAAATGAATTTGAGAATTGCTCTTTCTATCTCTGTGAAGAATTGAATTGAAATTCTAATGAGGATTGCATTAAATTTGTAGATGCTTTTGGTAAGATGGATATTTTTACTATGTTAATCCTGCCAATCCATGAGCATGGGATATCTTCTCATCTTCTGAGGTCTTCTTAAATTTCTTTCTTCAGAGACTTCACATTCTTGTAAGGCAGATCTTTCTCTTGCTTGGTCAGAGTCACACCAAGATATTTTATATTATTTGTGACTATTATGAAGGGTATTGTTTCCCTAATTTCTTTCTCAGCTCATTTATCCTTTGAGTACAAATCAAAACAACCCTGAGATTCCACCTCTCGCCAGTCAGAATGGCTAAGACAAAAAACTCAGGTGACAGCAGATGCTGGCGAGGATGTGGAAAAAGAGGAACACTTCTCTACTGCTGGTGGGATTGCAAGCTGGTACAACCACTCTGGAAATCAGTCTGGCAGTTCCTCAGAAAATTGGACATAGCTACCTGAGGACCCAGCTATATCACTCCTGGGCATACACCCAGAAGATGCTCCAACATATAACAAGGACACATGCTCCATTATGTTCATAGCAGCCTTATTTATAATAGCCAGAAGCTGGAAACAACCTAGATGTTGTTTCAACAGAGGAATGGACAGAAAATGTGGAACATTTACACAATGGAGTACTATTCAGCTATTAAAAACAATAACTCTGTGTAATTCTTAGGCAAATGGATAGAACTAAAAAAATAACATCCTGAGTGAGGTAACCCAGTCACAAAAGAACACTCATGATATACA